TTTATAGATAGTAATAGAAACATCTGCGCAGCAGCTTGATTTTGATTGCCTGTCCCGATCGGAAAATGCGTCTCTTCCAAGTCGAGGCGCATAATTGCGATTCACAACTGGCCGATCGGAAACTTTTGACATTTCAAATCGAAACAATAGTTGATTTGAGTCACAAATTAGAAAGATACAGTAGGAAAATCAGGTTCATCTAATCGCTCAGAAACCCATTTGATTTCGAGACTCAGATGGACTACCCGATCGGATCGAATGCGATTTGTATTAAAATCAGCCTGCTAATGAAAGAGATAGTGAATTTTTATGTAGCCGAGGCGAGTGCGCTTTGAATTTCAAATTGAACTGTCAAGTCATACCTATTCTGAAGGTGAGCTTGAAAACTTTAACTGAGTTTGAAGTTCGGAAACTTCAGATTAGCCTTCGAGTTGCAGTGGATCTACTCCCGTCCTTCATCCAACAACTGTCCGAAACAGTTACTGTCAAATAACTACTTGACCAAATTAAAAAACGTATGACGCGAATGAAGCTTCGTACTAGACTAGACATTGTTTTTTGACTTGGTCGAGTGTTACTTATTTGACAGTAATTGTTTCGGACGTATGTCGGACGGAAAAAGGGAGTAAGTAGACCCCCATTTTGGGCAAGACACGATCGCGGCTATATAGGTTTGCGTCAATTGGTTAGGTAAAAGGGTCTCCGGTGCAGTGCATTTACAAGGGGGCCGTTTTCCGTTACACGCACGTCTATTTTATAAATTTCCGCTAATTAACTAGCCTTCAAACATGACCGTGTAGATGGGCCTTTTATAACGCCTCGCTCTCGCTTGCACGCTTGATTGCGGTGACAGCGGCTACTCGGGCTACATAGCGAGTCCTTCTTTTTCATTTCTGTTAGTATTCCTTACCAGTATTTCTATAATGTATAAATTATGAGGTTCATTTATATTGGTTTTTTACTTCAAAATAATATACGACCAATGTAAACGGAGCTCAGTCGTATTACTCCATTTTGCTAAAGTATTCAAAATTTCGACATGTGAATTTCTAATTTATTGTTGTATTTATTGACTTATACGCTTTTGTAAGATTTAATGGTTACAATAATACTTGGCGTGACAAAAATGTTTTGTTTAATATCTGTCAGTTATTTTTTCTAGTTATTAAAAATAGCAAAAGTAACTAAGTAAAAAAAAAGTATTTATGAATGCATAACATTACATGACACAAATAATTTTACAAAATATCTTTGTATACATTGTTGTTTATGCTGTTTTATTTTCCAATTTTACGGAAATACGTACAAAAATTGTGGTAGATAATAATTTTAGCAGAATTTAGCTCAGGAATAAATAATAAAATCTTTTGAACTCACGTCTCAAATATTACGTAATTCAGTGTATTGTTACCACAATGTCCACTTAAGGTTGACTTTTAAAAACGCAACGCACCGGTTCGCGCGTCACAAAAATGAGGGCTCTTTCTTCTTTTGTCTTTGCTTACTTATATCAGATGTATTTAATGCTAGAAAATTTGTTATTAATTCCTGAGCAACATAATTCAAATTTGCAAAATAAATTAAGCCTCTAGTTTTTAGATAAAATTAGTTTTAAATACATATATTTACTTAAATGTGTTTATATACGTCACTTATGTTCAACCAATCGCACGAAAAGGATGGACACATCGATCGTACCTCTTTTTCGTTTATTCGGGAAATATGTACTGCAATAATGAATTTACAAAACCTACACTATTACAGTCTGGCCGTTTAAGATAGTCCACCTAGTCTTTGCCTTAAACACAAGTGAGAGCGATTTAGTCGACAACGAGTGCGAGCGAGAGCGAAAAGTTCCTAATGAACATTTTGATAAGCAGCTAAAGGTCGTCTTTTTTGAAGACGGAGTAAAATGACATTAATAAATAATATAATAATAAATAACGCACATACTCAACATAGCCCCGCACTAGGGAAACCCTGTATCGCAGGTGCCATGGACACATAATCATACAAATAAATAATAAATACATACATGAGATTGGGTCACGAAATAAATGTAGGCTATACAAATATTTCTCCCGGCCCAGGAATCGAACCTGGGACCTCTGCGTGGCAGTTCGGCATGGTAACCGTACGGCCACGGAGGCAGTTATTTGCAGAGTTGCCAGTTTTTATAAAATTTTAAATAGTCGTGTAGTTGTTGTCGACATTTTTATCGATGGGTTCAAATGAAATAAGTTCGACAATTTATTGCATAAGCGTGACCAGCATTCAGTCGTTATACAATTGAATATTTATCGATTGTAATCACTAGTTGCTTCCAAGCGGGCAACACTTTTGTGCTATGAACTGTCGTTTTTCTAGGGATTTTAGTAGTGATGTGTATGTTAAGCGCGCATCTGAAGCTGTCTAGAATTAATAGATTATATTCGTGTCTCGTGCTATAATTTCAAGTGACCAAGTCCCATGCACATAGTTTGTACAAACAGCAAACTATTTTATTTCAAGACCCGGCTACCCGGTTGCTTAGTTCCTTTTGTACTGAGTTGTCTTCCATTTACTTAAAATAAAAAATCTTTTAAAATTGTAACTGTTACCAGAGTTGAAGATGCCGAGAGAACGCAGCGGAAATTTTACCCCCTCTCCACATCGCGCACTAAGGCGCGGTCAATCTTAAACGGTCACGTTTCACTTGTAATGGGTATAGAAAGCTGGCTATAAAATAGACGCCAAGACTTGACAGAGTGGTCACCCTATAAATAAATAGAGTATTTAATAAAAGTTACTACAAAATCGCGCATAGGGAAAACAACGACGAACCCGCTGCTGCTCTGTGATTGGCCAGTGGCCAGTGGTTCTTTGTTGCTTGCGTGGAAATATCAAGCTTGCTAGATATCAAACTCACGCAACGCAAAGAAATCCAACGCAAAGCAAGCGCCCGGCGCAAGCGAGCGACTCGTGAACAGTCCTGCCTGCGCGTACGCGACAGATCTTTGCGTATGCGCGAAGCGAGTCACGCAAGCAAGCGAAAAACGCAAGTGAAAGACTCGTGAACCGACATCAAAGATTGTAAAAAAAATCCATACTTTAAAACCTTTTTTCTTAACCCCTCTAAACACAAAAAAATCATGTATTTCGTGCAGAAGTTATTCAAAATTTATATGTATTAGAAAAGGTAAAAAAAATCCATACTTTAAAACCTTTTTTCTTAACCCCTCTAAACACAAAAAATATGGTATATTTTTGTGAGTTCTAGTTACTAATTCGCCTGGCCGATTCTTGACGGCTATTTATTACTCAACATATTCGATACAATTTAGCAAACAATAGAGCTGTCAAGTCTTTAGTGTCTATTTCTTAAGCACATACCATACAAAAAAAACCACCATATTTTATAACAACTATCGCCAATTATATCCAAAGTAATAATGTGAAACATGATTTAACTGAAAGCTGCGTTGGATTTTGTCTGTGATTGTTAATTATGTAGATACATATTGGTTTTTTATTTATTTTTGTTCAATAAATTGCTTAGATATCTGGTTTTGCGTTATTAATACAGTACCTTCCTACATACCATTTATGAAAAAAGAAGTTGCAAACACTTTTGTTCGAATATCGGCTCCAGTGCAATCTTAGAAGACGGAAAAAAGTAGAGTAACGAAACAATATCCGCCATGTGTAACTTGATGTGCTGCCATCTGTACCAAACGAACTAAACCAAGTATCTACAGGCACGCTTCTATGGATAGGTACCATTTCGAGTGCATTGATCAATGAAACGTGTTTAGGTCAAGCAGAGTTCTTTACAAGAAGACTAGTTATCATTTCCTAATTTATTAGTGCTTAAAGCCGAACTTTTTTATTTCTTATTTGGTTATCTACAGGTGCACACTTTTTTAATATATTGACATAATTTTATAAATAATGAACCCATAACAAACAAGCTCTTGGGGTGGTCCGGATAAAAAGTTTTACACACCTTCAGGAAGCGAATATAGGAGGGAGCTAATGGAAGTCTAAGGGCGCGTTCAAATTAGCCACTGTTAGACGCGCTGCAGCAGCGCGGTGGTCGCTCGACTGTCACTTTTCATACAATTTCTAGAAGCTTTGCAACCGCGCGGCGGCAGCGCGACCGTCGCACTGCTGCAACGCGACATATTTTGTTTATTTTTTATTTAATAAAATAAAAAATAAACAAAATGTTGAAGAGATATATGTATATAAATAAGTTCAACTTAACTTTTAATCATTACAAATCAATATTAAGACAACAAAACTGAAAATAATATTGTTTCCATTGCATCCGTGTAACTATTTTAAAATTACTAAATTTGACATAAGAGCAATATTACTTTAATGTTAAAGTCGCGTCATAGTACGAACTGCGTGAATGAATAATCACAAAGCTGCTAATAAAATATCATAGTTTTAACATTATAATAAGCTTACTTTAAGCGCGTTATAGTTCGAAAGTCAATGTAAGGTTAAAGTAATATTGTTTTATGAGGTTGTGGTAGGCCCCCTGTTGTATAAAAATAAAGATTAAATCGATGTAGTCTTGCGATTACTTTTTTCGATTAATCGATAGATTATAATAATATATATCAATCCGTCCCAGACGAACATTGACTTACAATTATATGGACGTCGGGTCCGCGCTAAAAACTGTCCGCACTTGTAAGGCGCTAAAATCGTATACAGAGCGCGACATTCCGCTTTAGTCTTCATTTGTTCTACTGACAGCGCGATACTGCGATGACATTACAATTTAAATTTCGAATAGGTTGACTTGGGACATTTTTTTCGTGGTTTTTGTATTAGACCCGTCGTTCATTTATTTGTAAGTCAATGCAGACGAAGAAAAAACCCACTCACGTTGTTGTCATTCTCAAAACGATTTTTGTCTGTGGTTACATTACAGTTTTTTTTTGTGGTTCTTTTACAAGTTACAAATTGCAATGAAAATAATTTCAATAAACCTATGATAAAAACCCGAATAAGTTGTTATACAAGTAATGTGTACCAAATCGACATTTCTGTACAGAAGACTGTAAAATCAAAGATATTGCAATGACTTATCCATTAATTGTAAAAGGTATGGATGAAAGTTTTATCATCAGAAGAAGCGACGACTCGAAACAGCTGGAAGAATGTCGTATTTGCCTTAAAAAAGAAGCTGATATTCCAATATTTGGGATCAGAGGGCAAGCGGATCTGTCATTAGATATTATGAATTTCGGGGGCATCAATTTAGGACAGGATGACGGATTTCCTCAGTATTTATGTATGCCCTGTTACAAATTGCTTGAAAACGCTGTGTTGTTTAGGGAGACAGCTAAACACAATGATATTGTGCTTAAATTGAAGAAAAAGGGGCTCCAAGTAAATAATAATACAGGTACCAATAGTATTAAGTCTGTAAAATTAGAAGAGCCCTGGATTGAGTCAAAGGACCCTATAGAGGTTCAAAGTAAAAAAGACGACAGTAAGAATGCCATAGAATTTAAATACAACATAAAAATAGATAAAGTAGAAGTTGATGGCTTGCTTGGCCAAAATAGCAACTTAAAACCAGAACTTAATTTGGATAGCACCACCATACTTGCTGACCCAAATGTTCAATTTAATTGCCTTGTATGCAAGGAGAGTTATAAAACAATTCTGGAATTTGAAAGTCATATTGCATCCAAGGAGCATAAATTAAGAAAAGAAAAAAATAAAACTTACAAGAACAATGAAAACTATTGTGCAATTTGTAACTTGACGCTTACAAGAAACAAGTACGTTGAGCATATGAGTAAAATACATACTGAGAGTTTAAATAAGGTTAATAAAGACAGAATAGAATGCAAGATCTGCAAAAAAAATCTACATCCTGATTATTTGCGTGTTCACATGAAAATGCAACACGGAGAGAGAGCAAAGTTGAAACCTAAAACAAAAATTCAATGTCCTATTTGTAACCAACTTTATGCACAGCATTATTATAAACAGCATTGTAAGCTGCAGCACTCTACAGATGCAAATATGGGGTATATGTGTGACCAATGCGGGAAGATGTTTACTTATCTATATAAGTTAAATATTCATCGTGTCACTCATACAAAGGCACTTCCATTCAAATGTAGTTACTGCCCTTACAGAGGACGTAATAAAGAATTGCTTAAGATTCATGTGAGGACTCATACGGGAGACTATCCATATAAATGCACAGAATGCAATGTACGATGTATAACTAAAAGCAATCTCAATAGCCATATGAAACGACATAGAGGACCAGTTGATTTCTTATGTGATAACTGCAGCAGAGGGTTTTACAC